CTATAACTAAAGACATTCATAAGTTATCTAAAATACAAACTTTAATTTCTAGTTAAGTGTTTGATATGTAGGCTAAAAATTTATCTGTATTTGACATTAATCTATATTTTTATATTTTGTATAATTTAAAACTCTGTCTATACTCATTATTAATTATTTCTAATTATATCATGTATAATATTTATAATAATTTTTTAATTTGCTGATAAAATAATAATGTTGTGCAAGATTTTGTTGTTTTATTGTGCGATAAATTGTTTGCAAAACCCGTTTTACAAACCTACAAGATAGTGACGTGTTTTTCAAATAAAACTACCGCCAATTTATCATAATATTAAAGTTATAATTATGTTAGCAATAATTTAATTTTAATTCATTATAAAGTTTTTACCGGTAATAACAAAGGTAAGAACAATTAACAAAACAAAACGAACAAGGTTAAAATCAAACATCGAATTAGAGCTCGATACTTTAATGTCCACGTATTTGTGACTGATTTTATCTTCATCAACGGTGACCACTCGGTAGCCAGAGTTGGCATTTGTTGGCGGCAATTGGGCGCCGATAGCCGACGTCACTATGACCTCCATGTTTTTGTAAAAGCCGCCGGCGTTGTGGTGATAATGACCGGCAAATATGGCCCGCACTCCGGCCGCTTGGAATTTTTCACCATCCTTTGCCGAGTCACGTTCTCAAAGTTAAACTAGATGCAAATTCAAATATGTAATTAATGATTTTAAATTTAAATATAATTTATATTTTTATAATTAGAGTTAGTTTAACAAGTTATAAAATAATTCTATTAAATCTAAATGCTAATTAGTAATCTTGTGATAGCCGAATAAAATCATACATTTAAATCTGTAACACTTTTTTATGTATAATAATTGACCTTCATTAACTTATATATTAATAATTAAAATAAGCAAAGATACAATAAATATACGTATATAAAGTTTTATATGATTCGACTACCCCTTTATATGGTTCGTTGATATCATTCAGAAACCACGGGATGTGTTGAAAGACAACCACGTGCTTATAATTGCCTGCTTTGGCCTCCAGGAGCTGTTTAGCAATCCATTTATCTTGCTCATCGTAAAGAGCTAGCACATTTTTATGATCCTTATAAAACTGGACATTGATTACAATAAACATACAGCCGTCGACCCAGAAGGTGAAATAGTCGTCACCAAAATGGCTCTTATAGGCCGTCACCGACTCTACGGTCGGACTGTTTAAAAAGTCGTGATTTCCTCCTATAATAGAATTTTGATATATTTTTATTGAGAGA